TGCACAATCCAAGTTAAATCAGAAAGCATGATTTTTGCTTTATGTACTCAAGATCAAGGGCTCATCAATAATTCCATCATGGAAGATTATTTATAGGAATGGTTCTTCAAATAATTAAATTATGACATATTAGAATATTTTAAACTGCTTAAGGCCAACTATAAATAGAAAAATAATTTTATACAAATTACTTGTTCTGGCTGGGAACTTCGACAGCAGTGGTCAATGTCATCAGAGTTAGGGAACATCTTATTCTTGGCATCCATTTCTCTAAATTTACAATGAACTTGAGCCCATCTGCCACATCTCCATCTCTCTTTATTGCTTGGCAGTAAATTTTGTGGCTTGCTTTGGGACAATATATTTCATTTATTTTGAGTATTTTTGTATCAGCACATCACTCAAAACTCACTCAAATCTTAGTCTTCAGTAAGGCTCTGTCATAGATGGGCTAAATATTACTTTTTGTTTCAGCAACTTTTTTGTTAATTCTGTGCTCCTTTGTGGTCCTGATGTTTTCAAGGGGGGGGCTGGGATTTTTGGTCTTTCATTTTCTGTGAACAGAGAAATTAATGAGAAGTGTATCTTGTGATACCACCAAGACAGACAGACAGAATCATAATAGTTAGGGATGGTAAAAAAAAAAAAGTATTAGATATCGACATCACTTCTGAGGGGCAAAAAGTCCTTCATGAGGATTAGACTCTTGTTGGAGCTTAGACTGGGAGTCTGAACTATCTCATCTGATGATAGTGAGCAAATGCACTGTTAGGTAAAATAACACCCTGCAAGATATGTGTATATTGCTCAGAGTTGGATTTTTGTTTTCCATCCAACTTGTAATTAAATTAGTATCAAGAGCTTTATTTTTTTAAAGATCCAGTAGATTCTGTTCTCGAAATTTGCCGTCAAAATACTTTTGCTCTTCACCCTCTCTCCAGAAGTTGTAATAATACTTTGTAACACAGAAGATGCAAAATAAGCATTTTAAATGCCTACTTAAATATTTAATTTTAAATGCCTATTTAAATAAGGGCAAGGTCATTGATGGTTCAAAAGGAGGATTAATTTGGTTTTCATACTACCATAAAAATCAAGGACCTTGCAGGGCTGAGGTAAAAAGGCCTGTAGGTGTTCCTTCCATTGCTCCTCAACCATTTTGATGCAGCAGTGAAATGCTGAGCCTTCGGCAAGACTGGTTTGAGTTCAGCATCCTAATGAGCAAGGACTTGGAGCCCTTTTTCCACCTTCCACAATATTGTTTTGAAATGTTCTTGGATATTTTTAATTATTTAAGGTTATTTTCTTAAAGGCTCATTCTGACCCTTTCTCATGAGTCAAATTTCCTAGGAGCATTTCTAGTCTCATGCAGTGAAATCTTTTGAAATATCTCTTTAAAGTATCTTTGGCCAATGTTTTAGTTGTTTTCTTTCTTGATAAGCATCCGTGTAATTTATGGAAATTCTTTCATTGGAAAGGTAAACATTTTCTGTTTCTTATATTCTAAGCATTATCACTTTTTTGTTATTGTCCAAACATATACTATCATGAATCTGTCATGTTTAAATATGTTGTACTCAAAGACTCATGTTTTCTACCTTTTTTTTTTTTTTTACAAACTATATATAATTTGGTTTTCAAAAGAAGTATAAAAGTGTGAAGTTTGTCTTGCATAACCTGCAGCTGATATTTTTGGGCACAGTTAAAAGCAGTCCTTAAAGTGAAAGGATCCAAAGGCTTCTGTACTTAATTGTACACAGAAATCACATTATTCATGGAGACTTCATTGTTTTTATTTTATTTATGCACTTTCTAACTCTTTGTGAACTGGAAGAAAAGGGGCTTCCTACTGACGTCTGCATCTAACAGTTGAGAAGTTGAGACTCCAGTTATGGATTTGTAGACACCTGAATCCCTGAGCTGTGGGTTTATATTTTGGCATGAAAAAACTGAACATTTTGGACTCCGTGATCTTAGAGGTCAGATCCACCCTAAGCAATCAATATCTTGTAGGAAGATATGGAGTGTGAATCAGGCTTGTGTTGCTGCTCCATCATGACATTCCTTCCTGGATGAGGAACTTGCACAATGCTCCTGAATGGTGCCCCACAGCTTTTACTGCATTGATGCAAATATACAGATTTTGGCAGGCAAAACACTTTCTGCATGTGCAACAACATCGAGATGAATGCACAGAGTATTAAATGCTTCTCAGCTGTGACTAGGGTTTCTAATTTAGTGGAGACAAAATCAAAACCACAAACAGGATCTCCCTGTGAATGTTGGAGGCTATTTATTTTATGAAACCCTAAGTCATAGACAATGTGGTTATCACAACACACAGTGTATCTTCTTACTTGCCTGTTCTTTTGCATGACAGTTACACAATACCCTAAACAAGAGAGCATATTATTGGACAGTCTTTCAGAGCAGAAAGCTTTTTGCAAACTGAAATGGACATTTCTGACTGAGATGTGAATGTTTTGTTTTCCTTTACCTCATGAAGCATCTGGTCTTCTGCTTCCCTTGTTGATAGCAAGTACATTCCCTTCTCTCTTCATCAGAGAGCACCTAAAAGCATGACCATAAGTATTCTGTGTCCTGCCACACTTAAATGGTCAGCTGACACCTCTACAATAAAGCCCAGCTGGAAAGGATTTTTAACTTGACCATTTTTAATTGATATCTGGACTTGCTGGCAAATGAGATCTCTGAGTACTGAGAGATTTTGGCTTTTGGTTTTTTTCTTAAATACATTTGATTTAAATTATTGAAGACACTTTTGTGTGCTTGCTTAGATTACAAACCATTATTTCTACCATTTGGAAATCCTCCTATTTCCAGGATTTCTCCATGCTGGAGCAGGCATCATTTTCTTCTGGATATTGGCTACAGTTAACTGTGCCCTGCAGTACTTTCAGCCCTAACAGTTTAGATAAATCTGGCTTTGGAAGGTCCGTTCAAAGCAGCTGGCTGTGAGTACTGTAGATTTATTTGGTGATTCAGGTACCAATGAAGGAGAAACTCTTTCTTCTGGAGCATTTTCAAGGGTTATAAAACTTCTGTCTATGTATAAGAAGAATGGAAACATTTTCTGTGCTTTTCTCTATGCAATACTTTCTCTAGGCAAGTAAGACGCAATAGTAATCAGTTAGAAATTTATTCAGACCTCTTGCTGGGAGGTGATTCCTATCCTCTTACTAAAGGTCTGTTATTGATGGGCACAGTGCTGGCTTTCAGCACTACCAGTTGTATTTTGGAAAGTGATGATAGAAGGAATTGCCATCTTGCACCATTTGTAACACGTGTTTGCCCAGCCTGACTCCAAAGTGAAACTAGAAAGAAGCATTTATCCTAGGGAGAAAGCTGTAGCCAGATGAAGAGAACAGGGTAGCATTTAAATGACTCTTGTGTGATACACCACCAAACATTTGTCGTTAGTGTAGCCAGGCACTTCCCATCAGACTGCCTCTATATTCCTGTGTTTGCCTCCTGCATTCGGTGAGGCTTATTGTTTTGCATTTCACAGCAAAGCTTTTGGTGCTCAGCATCCTTCCTGCAAACTGTCACTGTCTTTGCCCTGGCATGCACGAGAGAAGCACTTGTTATCCCACCAGTTGAAAGGCATTTTAAGTTGTTCCCTGCTGTTTTCTGCTGTGTGTTGCTGTTTCTGAGCTGAACACATGCCTGATTATACGCTAACTTGAACCCAATCTCACACAGTAATGGTGTTTACTGGGCTGGCAAACTGGACTTGGGGATTAAACATATATTAGGATCATGGCTTGAATGAGAATCAGCAATGTTACCAAATTAAAAAAACTCAGTGCTTTGCAAGCATAATATAAACCTGACACATATAATGAAAATCAAAGTTAGCACATGAAATTTTTTCAAGGTCATATGTGTTGTAGTGAGTTTGCATAAAACCTCAGTCTTTTTCTCAAAATAACAAAGGAAATTATTTTGTATTTATTTATGTGATTACATTTGATGCTTTTGAGCAAGGATTTTTTTAAATGCTTTCACATCCAAGTTTTAAAAATAAAGAGGAGACATCTAAAGATCAAGAGATAGTAGAAACCAGTAAGCTTTCAATACTTAAGTATAGCATTCTTCACAGAACGGGTGATTAAATATTGGAATGGGCTGCCCTGGGAGGTGGTGGAGTCACTGTCCCTGGAGGTGTTTAAAGAAAAACTGGATGTGGCTCTTAGTGCCATGGTCTAGTTGGCAAGGTGGTTTTTGGTCATAGGTTGGACTCAATGATCTCAGAGGTCTTTTCTAACCTAATTAATTCTGTGATTTTCAACCACTAAAAGCAAAAGACTCACTAAACCGGTAAATACTATCTCCATTATCACATAGCAAATATGTAAAGCAGAACTGCACTAAAAGGTGTTTCACAGTCTACAAAGATGTTACATAACTGATACTCTACATTTCAAAGACTATTAAAAACGTAGTCTAAAATCCCAAGAATTTAAATTCAGAATCCGGAAATGATTCTGAATACTATTAAGGAAGCATAAACAGCAGTGTGTTAATTTAAAATGGTTTTGGCAATTGAAACAAAATAGATATCTGCTTTACATAACAACAAATGTTCTAGTTTGGATTGTAAGTTGTTCATATTTCATACGCCTGCATGAGTTTCAGTGAGATTTAGAAACTGGACTACTAAATCACAAAAGTGTTGTGAAACTGTGATTTAAAAACAAGCAAACAAACAAAGCCTAAACAGGGCTGTACTTGGACTTGTTGAAACCCCTTTGTGTCTGACTCTTTCAGTCTTACGAAATGAACTCTGCAGTCTCTCTACTTTGTGAAACTTGGGAGTGTCTTTCCTGCTTCTAAACACAGTGGGATCAGGATGTGAGTCTGTGATGTTCCTTGGGCTGGACCAATGCTTGCTGCTTGTTTATAAGAAAATTGAACCGTTTAAATAATGAACAAAAAATAAGAAAAGTTTTAAGGCTAACGGAATGTTTCATCCTTAGGATTTTACAATGCATGGAAATATAGGGAATGAAACTGCAAATTTGCTGCCATGTAATCCAGCTGGAGAGGAAGGCAGAGGGAAAGGCAGCTCAGCCATCAGCAGGAGCTAAAGGTGAGTACGGATACTCAGAGGTAAGGTGGGTTTTTTTTATTTTTGTTATGATGAAAAATGTGCTGCCACAGCTGTGTGAGATAATGACTTCTACTGATTTCCTGGTGGGAAACCCTATAATGAATACAGCTGCTTACACAGAAAGGGGTGTGTAATCTACCACATTGCTCCCCATTCCTCACCCAGTAGAGCTATACTTTGGCTTTCATGTAAGAAGATACAAGCAAGCCAGGAAGCTGGTATTTGTTTTGTTTTTTATTTGTTTGGGGTTTGTTTGGCTGGTTTGGGGTGAGTGTTTTTGTGTTTCTTTTGGTTTTGAGGATTTTTTTGGGGGAGGACAGGAGAAGCATGCCTGCTGTTTTCCTCTGGTTTTGTGTTGTGTATCCCTGCCACCTCATCTGTGATAGTGACTCTGACCCTCAGACCACTCAGAAGAAATGCTTCTCCAGGCCAGCCTCCCTCTCACCCTGCCACAGTCTGTCTGCAGGGGTGAGAAGGCAGTTAATTCTCTGTTCCTGTTCTGACTGGTCAAAGCTCTTGACAAGATGTCAGTGCCTACTGTGATAGCAGTTCTTAGCCTTTTTTTCATTATATGAATACCTTACTTGGAAAAGAGCCCTGAGCTTGTTGAAATAACTCCACAGAGACTCTGAGAGAGCCTTGAGATTTTAAGACCAATCAGTAAACTGCACTGGTTTTGAAATATAGCCTTTCATTCAGTTATCTCTAGTCAATTCAAGCTGTGGTGTCCTTACTCTCTGCCACTGTTCAGCTGAATTTTGGGTTTGTTTCAATGCTTTCACAGGGCAGATATAGCCTTAGCTCAGACTGTGATAGTCAAGAATAAATTCCCATGAGAAAGGCTTCCTTTGAATTCTTATAAAAACAAACAAACAAAAAACAGTACATCATAGAAGATGCTCTTTGCTGAGGAAGCCACTGAAGAGCTGGAGAGCACAGCAAGGCTTCCAGTGCTCTGCAGAGGAGGAGCTATCAGATTTCTGCCCTGATATTATGTATATTCATTAATATGCTTTCATCTTCCACTTTACCCCTACCAGAGTGGAATACTGAAACTCCAGTGGGGTTTCTTCCTTTCTGTAGTGCTGGATCACAAGGGAATGAAAAATCTTTGACCAAATACCTGCTCCACTAGTCTAGGATGGCAAATATGCAGGAGTCGTCATCAGCAGTCTCTCACTCTTAGTAGGTATTTCCTTGCTCTATGAAGGGCTATTCTATGAGCTGAGGAGCTACACAGTTTAAAGTGAATTCATCTAATTATAGTTTGAAAAGTCTAGGAAGGGAGTACAGTTCGAAAAAATTGTTGCAAATATATATGAGTGTTTAAAAGGATGACAGTGATTTCATGGGCCACTCGCTGTATCAGATGCATCTCTTGACACAAGATGAGGGGTAACTTCTCCAAGTACCTTAAGCCGAAGAAGTATGATATATAGCCATTAATTCTTTATCCTATACGAATGAATGTGTGCTTTGGGATACCCAGCAAATAACATACTTCTTATATTCTTAAAATGTAGTGATACAGGCCTTATGGAGGATATTCCAAAAGCCTCAGCTCCTGCTATTGCTCATCTGGGTTCCATAAGGCTGCTTGGTTGGAGTTCTCTGGGAGTAGATGAAGGAAGGAAATAGAAAGAATCTTTTTTTTTTTCTTTTCTTCTCCTAATAATAAGACCACACGAAAATCTGCTTCAGGAAAAAAAAAATAAAAAAAATAAAAAAATGGAAAAAAGAAGATTTTTTTTTTTTCCAAACAATCACTTTCCTGAACATTATATTATGAAGGTGACTCATTTTAAATTCTCTGTCATTTAGGGAACCATGGTATCTGTACTGCCTCTTGGTATGTCCATTAAGCAGCAGCAATACATTTTTTTCCTTGGTTAGTCACTCCAGTGAGTTCAATTCTGCAGGCAGAAATGTCTTTTACTCTAAATATTTTTTTGTTCCCAGTCTAAATGCATTATGCAAATAATTCACTTCATAAAAAGATAACAAATGTTTGTGTAGTTTGGTGGTTTTTTTTAAACAGCCCCAAACATGATAGTTCAGGAAGCCAGTGTAATTTTAAGAGCTTAAGAATAAGCAGCTATAGTATAATAGGATCTGAGTTTTATGCAAATAAAACCATTATGCCCATTACTGGAGCATAACAAAGTAGAGAGACCTCTGCACTTATGGGCAATATGACAAGTGCTTTATTTATGATAACTCTTAGAATTTTCTCTTGGCATTTTCTTGCAGTTTCATGTGGTCTCCAAAAGGCAGAGTTTTATGTTGCTGAAAAGAGCCCTCAATATACTAACAAATTACTTTGTGCAAAACAGATGTTCTTCTGAGATTTTGTTTTGTTGCCTTTTTGCTCTTCAGCAGTTCAATATAGTCTTGACACTATGAAGGATTTCACTTCAGTATATATGGTTTATCTAACATAAACATGGAAGGTAGGAAAGGTCTTTGCCTGTATGATTAAACAGATCTTAAACTTTACAAGTACAGTGTGTCCAAAGTCAACAAAAAAATACCTTCCCATGGATCAAACTGCAGAGTCCCCCATTCATTCTCCTACTGCACCAGGCAGTGAAGTATATGAGTTTTTTAGAGGTCTACTCAGATGCCCCAATGACCTGAACATCTCAATCTCATGTCTATTTGTCATTTTATTGCTCAGGTTTTTGTATTCTACAGACAATGTCCTATGGCACAGAAAAGCTGAGTGATTTCCTAAGTCTGCAAAAGTGCAGATGTGATCCTTAGCTCTGGAAAGCCAAGGCAATATCTTGATCATCCTTCATTTCTAGGAAGTCTGGCTTGTGTTCATTGACACCATACTTCTGATAATTCAGTTCCTTCCAATTATATGAAGAAAAATACCAAACAGCTTTGGGCTAAGGTGTACCTGAAGTTTATCCACCAAAGGCTGCATTATACTGGCTCTAAGGACCAGAACCTGCCATTAGATTTGTAGACAAGTTTCCTAAGACCCATCCTGAAGCCCAGTCACTCAGCTTGTTAATTTGTATTGACTGCTTAGTTGAAGGGACACCCAACATTGAAAAAATTTGGGTTCTCATTTCTTCTCAGCTCTAGTTTTCATTCATCTTCCAATTTAGAATTAGAGAGTGATCAGATATTTCTTAGTATCACCAATTTTTTATACGTCTTTGTATCTCTGTATTTGTGAACGTGTACAAACTGAAACATAGGGCATCCAATGAGGTGGTGCTTTCAATGAGCACCTTGATAAGAATTAAATCTCTAAACATTAATCTTACCTGCCTGTAAAAATAAGCAGTTGCTAGGCTCATTTCCATGGGCAAATTGTTGCAACTACTAGAGTACAATTAATCTTTGCTCTTTAGACTAGACTATGTACTTTTTTGCCCTCTGTCCTGTATTATGGCAGTGTGCTGTCTCAATAGGTGTGAGTTCCAGTGCATTGGCGTTGCAGTGACCAGTGAAGGGACTCCTCTGTGCCCCTGCAGCTCTTAAAGCTTTGCCATAAAAATTATTATTGATCTGTTTTTTGAAAAGTAAAACGTCCATCCACCTCAGTTACTGGAAGCTTACAGCATGCAGTGAGGAAGTAGCTAAAGATGTCTTGTTTCCATGGTGGCATTTTTGTTGCTGTGTCAAAGGTTGTAAAGCATAAACACCCTGGATTTTAGAGAAAGCACAACCTAAACCCTTCTCACTTTTGCTAACGATATTATTTACTATGTTAGAAAATAAAAAGTAGGCAAACCTACTTTCTCTTTTGCTTCCCAGGTAAGTCCCACTCAGCACAGCTGGGAGCAGCATAAGAGAGAGAAAATTGTGATGCCTTGCAGTAAAATAGGAACAGAAAATATACAATGTCCCTATACATTTTCAGGTTATTATGGTGTGTTCCAGGAAAAAGGAAAAGTCCAGCTGTGCTTCTGTCAGCCACAGAAGGAATATCGGTTTACATCTGTTTGAACTCATCACAGTAATTTCTATTATGAATCTAATTAATCTTGGCTTAGTTCAATCAGTACAAGTCAAAGCTTATTCTCGTCTCCTCTAGTCAGTGCTGGGTTTGCTATGCTGGTCATTTATGCCTAAATGGGGCTATTGGCAAGGGAAGGCAGGCCTGCTTTTCAGAAATAGGAGGACTATTGGGACAGTAATGCTATAGCACCTGTTGAGTGCAGCATTCCCATCTGGAATAACCTCATTAACATTGCCCAGCAGTTAAGACTGCAATGTAATTGGCTTCAGATTTTATGTGCAATACATAAAAATGTGACAACAGCTCCTTAAAGGCATCATGCAGCTGCCAGCTGACCTGCCTCCTTGTCCTTATTCATCAGGGGGAGGGATTTGTCAAGAATATCTTCATAAACAGCTTTGAAAATCCAAATCTTTCTGATTGTATTCATTTATGATGGCCTAGATACAGGGCAACTGTAGAAATTTATGGACAGAACACTTCAAGGGACATTCTCAGCAAACTACCATCCTTTATATGTGTGGTAAGACACCCACATCTCATCAGGTAGTCTTTATGGAAATATGTGAGTGCCACTGAATAGCCCTTGTGAGCTCAATATAGTTTCCCTCAGTGAAAATACTGTAAGTAGAAGTACTTAGGTTTACCCTTAGTACTGGAGTAAGCAGAAATCCAGGTATTGTGTGTAATTAAATGGAGATAGCAAGGTTAGTGAAATGTGCAGGTTATGCTGGCAAGTGTTAGGATATATAAGGGGTGTTCTTCTATTCTGTGTGACCTGGTAGGGCACAACAAACATGTTTAGCTTCATAGAGCAGCTTATGGAAAAGAAAAAAATACCTATTTATAATCAAATTTATACAAATTTATTTCTGGAACTATCAGCTTTTGAGACAAACTTAAAATCAGTCAAGGCATTTATACTTAGAAAATTCAATTCCAGAACACCCAAAGTCTGTTTAATATTGGTACAAAGTTGTTTTTCACGTTTCAGTAACTC